CTTTTGCACAGTTCTTTAAAAAATTCAAAGTTATTCACCACAACATAGGCATATCTCTTTTCACCAAGCCTTTCCACCTGATATTCACCACAAACTCTCCCTTTATCAATTTGCAGTCTTGGAATCCTTCTGACTGCTTCCATGGAGATAGTCCTTTTCATTCCTCTTAGATGAAGATGGTCAAGTTTTTGGTGCCACAGTTTCACCTCTTTTTCTTCTTTGGAAATAGAACACACAGTGGAGTTATTAGTGTTCTCAGGCTGCCACAAGTAACACTTGTCTTTAGATCTGATTCCTTTCATTACAACTTCTTGTTTTTCATTTATTACAAGACAATCAGATTTTGAGAAGTTGACCTTGAATCCTAGATCACACAATTGACTGATACTAATGAGATTAGCAGTCAGGCCTTTTACCAATAGTACTTCATTCAGATTTGGAACTCCAGGGCAGTCCAAATTACCAACTCCTTTGATTTCACCTTTAGCACCATCTCCAAAGGTCACACAACTAGTGGTGTGAGGTTTAACATGATTGAGAATGTTCTTGATTCCAGTCATGTGCTTAGAACACCCACTGTCAAAGTACCAGTCTTCCTTTGCAGAGACTCTCAGGGAAGTGTGGGCTATCAGGGCAGTAGCCTTTTTCTTCCATTGAGGAGTATGTGGTACCCTGTTAGCCTTAGGTTTGGCACCTGGGTTCTGATTAGGGTATCCATACAATCTGAAGCAGAAAGGCTTAATGTGACCAAACCTCCCACAATGATGACATCTCCATCTTTGGTACTTTTTCTTCATATTTCTCTGTTCCCTATGTTGAGTGTTATGTTGTGACATCTGCTTTGACATTTGTTTATCAGACCTGATCTTCTTGTCTGCACCAGATTTCTTTGCTTCCACAAATCCTAGTCCAGACTTGTTTCCCACATTTTGTCCAACCTGAAGGATTTCTTCCAATTTGTCAGTTCCATTTGTCAGCATCTTGACAGATTTGGTCATCTGGTTCAGTTGTGAGTTCAACAATTGAACTTCCCCTTCTAGATGACTTATAGTTTTAAGGTCTGCCCTTTTTTCAGCCTCCAACTTTATGATGAGCTTTGTTTGTCTCTCATTTTGCACACAAACTTCAGCACTTCTGATACACAATTTCTTATAAGTATCAGTCAGTTCCTCAAATGTCACTTCCTCATCACTGGTGTCACTTTCAGAGGTGCAAACACCAGTTAAAGCAGTAACTAGTTTGGCAGATTCTTCTTCAGAATTACTTTCTGAATCACAGTCAGACTAGGTAACAGTCATTCCTTTCTTTTGTTTCTTAAGAAAGGTAGGGCATTCAGCTCGAATATGCCCATATCCCTCATAACCATGGCATTGAATTCCTCTGCCTTGATTTCCCTTCTCTTCAGACCTTGGTCTTCTGCTGGAGTCATAAGATCTGTTAATGTCAGAGGGAATGTTATCAACATTTGACCTTGACTTTGGATCCATTTTCTTGATGAGTTTGTTGAATTGTCTTCCGAGCATGGCAATAGCTTCTGAAATATTTTCTTCTTCATACTCCTTGTCTTCATCTTCAGTGTTGGATACAAGTGTTATGCTCTTGTTCTTCTTATCAACATTTTAAGTGATCCCCATCTCAAAAGTCTGAAGAGACCCAATGAGTTCATCCACTTTCAACTTGTTGATATCCTGGGCTTCCTCTATAGCAATTACCTTCATTGCAAATCTTTTAGGCAAGGATATGAGAATCTTTCTCACCAGTTTTTCTTCTGACATCTTTTCTCCCAATGCTCCTGAGGTGTTGGCAATTTCCAAGATGTTCATGTGAAACTCATGAATGGTTTCATCTTCCATCATTTTTAGATTCTCAAACTTGGTAGTCAGCATCTGAAGCCTTGACATTTTTACTTTGGAAGTGCCCTCATGGGTAGTTTTGAGAGTGTCCCAAACTTCCTTGGCCAGTTCATATTGATGTACTAGTCTGAATATGTTTCTATCAATTCCATTGAACAAGGCATTTAAAGCTTTGGAATTACCCAGGGCTAACTCATCTTCTTCTTTACTCCATTCTTCCTCAGGCTTCAGACTGATTGTCCCATCTTTCTCAGTTATGGTGGGATGGTTCCATCCTTTGTCAGCAGCTCTCCAAGCCTTTTTGTCCAGAGATTTTAAGAAGGCAATCATACGAGGTTTCCAGTAGTCATAATTTGATCCATCCAGAATGGGTGGTCTGTTTCCAAAAACTCCTTCTTTGTCCATAGTGCCAGAAAGTGATATCCCTAGATCTCACCCAGTAATACAGGCAGGGTGCCTGCTCTGATGCCAATTGAAATTCTGGCTGCAGATACTCAATGTCACAGTCAATGTTATGACATCGTATCTGACTTTCTATAAGACAGTAAATACAAAAACAGTAAAGAACACAGTCAATTGTTTACCCAGTTCAGTGTGAAACAACACCTACTCTGGGGGCTACCAAGCCAGGGAGGAAATCCACTATAAGAGATATTAATTCAGGAATAAACCAACCAGTTTATCTCCTTCACTTAAGACCTACCCAATGCAACTTCAATCTAAGTTCAACTTAAACCTGAGTTCCTACTCACTCCCCCTCAATCACAGCAGTGATACTTAAAACAATTGACTAATGAATTAATGAAGACACTCTTCAGAACATACACTTGATTATGCTTCACAGCTTTTTAATCAAGCAACACAAACACTCTTGCTTCACAGCTTTGAGTGATACATAAACCTAACTTGACTTTGCTTCAAAGCTTTAGTCAAGAGACACAAAACACTCTTGCTTCAAAGCTTTGAGTGATACAAAATCCTTACAATTAAAACCTATTCTAAGTAACTTATCACAATGATACTTGCTTGGATTACAGTAGTTAAAACTATACAGCTCCTAATTGATCTTCTGTCAAAAGGATGAATTCCAAACAGCAGTCCTGTTGAATATATAGCAGTTGTTTCTTCAGTTAGGGTTTCCACAAAAAGTTAGAGTTAATTCCGTTTGACCTTAAGACTTGGTCACAAGACTTTATCAACCAGGTTAGGGTTGAGCTAGGTTAACCCAAAGTCCACGTGAGATTCTGTTCTGGAAAGAATGAGTCGTCTTCCTGAAAAATCTCAGAATTAACCAAACTGCATAACTGTTAGATCAGAACAGGATGTCTTAACATTTGTTATGACATCAGGATTTCTGTTTACTGATTTTGGTAGAGGGAATAAATGTGATCATTTTGTAAAATGCTCAGATACACACTCATAAGCAGCAGCACCGATATGTCATTATTTTTCTGCAAAGGTACCTAATAAACCAGTACCTAATAAACCAGAACAGTCATGACATTCACACACCTGGTTTTACCAAAAATATATGTCAATAACTAAATACCTACAGTTAGTGTTCCGTTGATGTTATTGTTTCCAAATTTATTCAAACTATCCATCAATCCAGATGCATCGGTGGTGGAAATGAGTGGTTTTGTTGGTGAATCATGGATTTCGTCCCTGGTGCATGAGCAGATGGAGGTTTCGGGTGCTGCACTAAATCAGTTGTTAGAACTTAAAGCTATTCTATATGATATTAGTCCAGAGCTGGGAGTGAAAGATAAGTTCAAATGGTACAAGAATACGGAAAAGGTTTACTCTGCATGCTCTAGCTACAAAAAAAATTTCCAGTGGCTGCAACTTAGTCTCTCAATGTCGTAATAATCTGACAACAATGAAATTATTGTGGAAAACAATGATCCCAACAAAATTTTATATCTTTGGTTGAAGATGTAGTAGAGATAGGTTACCTATTATAGAGCAATTGACAAAGAGAGGAATATTCATTGATAATAGAGATAAGGTATGCGTTTTTTACTTCTTAGCAAATGAGTTTTTCGATTATTTTTTGGTTTTATATCCATTTTTAAGATTGGTGTAGCAAAAAGTGACATTGTGAATTGTAGTGGAGATGGAAAATTCTACTGGTAAGGTGAAACACATGCTAAGATTTTATAATGCGTTGGATGAATTAGTGAAATCAAGGAAGAGATTGTTGGTATGGTTGGCAATACATTGGGTCTTATGGTGAATGAAGAATGAGATTATTTTCAATTCTCAAGTCTTTCATGTTAGGGAGGTGGTGCACAAAGCGATTCTACTCTTCTAGCTTAAGAACGTAATCGATTCTACTTGTAAATAATTTTTTTTTTTGAAATTATTATCATGTGAAATTTCTGAATTCTTGATGTAATAACTACGGGCGGGCCCCCTTGTACTCTATTTGTGTTATTAATTTCATTACCTATAAAAAAATTAATTCTACACATTATTCGATCAAGTACAAACAAAAATCCAATCAATGACCTCTCACAATATAGTACCATCTCTTGACACATTTTCACTACTTGCCGACCTATCGTATATGTTTCTATTAGACCGACTACCATGTGTGACCGTCATTGCAAAACACATCTAGATCCATTGAATTAAACAAATAACACTCATCTCATTCTCTCAACCTCAACCTTAACCTAACCTTAACCAAACATAAGAACATGCATGAGAATCTTTTAGTACACAATTTCATTTGTCGCTTTATGTACAAATCTCTCGAATATTTTAAACCATAACTTACTCTCTTTAATATATCAATAGAATCAAGTCCATTCACATCACAACCAATTAATTAGTACACTCTCTCAAGATTGAAATTTTTGGATCAGATATCATCTGGACGTGATCTGTTGCATGCTGTTTTTCATTTATTTTTTTGGATAATATCAAAACATATACTTCCATGATTCCTGTGGGGTCCACAGCTAGCTAAGCAATTGTGACCGTGGTCCCACCAACCACATGACCACCCCCATTATCTCTTAACTCACTCATCCTTACCTTTCTTTTTCTCTATATAAAACCAAGCATCCACAAGTTATGGAGAACAAGTAAAAGATTAGAAAATTTCATGCAAAACTAGAGAGTCTTTTTTTAATTATTATTATGGAGGTTGCTATTGAATTGGATGATGATTTGTTTTTTGCAAATTTGAGCAAGGAAATCGCTCTCTTAATTATGGATGAAGATGAAGATCCTCTTGTTTCTCAACCTCAAAACTCTCTTCAGGTATTTTACTAATTACACCTTCTTAATTACTTCATACACCTCATAACTACACATATATATTTCTTTTCATAATCTCGTACCACCGACATCTGTGTCCCTGTTTGTGTCTCAAATAAAATCGAATGATTACGTTTAATTTATTCATTATTTTATAAGTCATAATTGTTAAAGTTTCATTTTGCAGGCTTTTTCTAGAACAACTCATCCTCCTCGACAGTTTGATATCTTCTATGGTCAAGCTTTGGTGACAAGAGAAAGCAAAGGAACAGGAGTGTTTATTCCACAAGCAACACAACCAAGAAGGAAGAACAAGAAAACAAGATCTAATTCATACTCAAAATATCCGAAACAATCTCAAGAAACAAGAATGGATTCTCAAGTTCATAACAAGAATTCTTAGAAACAGTGAAATAATATGGATGAAGTTATTATATAGATCCTTCTAGTTAATTAAAGCTGCAGGATTTTATAATTTCTAGTGATTAATTTGATTATGATATTGTTTAATAACTTATGTGTTTAATTAATTCTTTATAGCCTTTAGGCAATAATTGTATGGCTAATTATGAAGTTTTATTATTTTATTTATATAAAGGTGAATATATACATGGGATGGGAAAACCATTTTTAGTTATATATACACCTATTATAAATATTAGTCATCTTATAGGAGGGTTCAACCAAAGGTTTTGTAATCTTCCACTGTGTGTACAAGCAAGCATTTTGTGGCTATCTAGTTTTCTATGATAGATAAGTTTGTCCTTTTTTCTTGCAATGATGTTAATGATAGTGTTTTTTTAGTAATTTTTCTATGTTATCCTTTTTTTTCTTCTTTAACGTTACTCTTTTTGTGTGTATACACTCACTTAATATATCAAGTTAATATGTTTTTTAAAACAATTTTAATGTTAATTGAACAATCGACTTTTTGATTTGCTCCGATGTTGCAGGGGTCAAAAACATAGGAATATGTTAGACCAATTTATAAAATTAAGGTATATATTTATTTAATTTAATGTTTTAAATCTTTAACTAAATTAATGTTATAATTAATCCCTTAACTTTATTTTCGTTATTTTATTTGATCAAACTTTATTTTCACACGTCATAATATTAAACTTTTATTGTGAGTCTTAATTATGTGAATCTATCCTCAACCAGCTCCCATCTTGCAATTCTTGGTTGTAAAAGCTATATGAAGATCTTTGTTGTCTATCTGTAACTCCACCTTCTATAGTCTTTATTGTGTTGAACAATCCAAGCAAAAGACACGACCTGGCTATTTTTTTTTAAAAGTTTATTTAGTTAAAAACTTATCTTAAAGGCTAAAAAAAATATTTTAAATTTATTAATTCAATCTATTTAAATAAATATGGATAAACTTATTAGTATTATTATTATATAATATTTTATACATTAAATTTAAATAAAAATAAAATTTAATTATCTTGAACAATTTATTGTTGAAATTAATTTATATTTTAGGAATATCTTATTGATTAAGTTTGTTAGAGGATATTTTAATATTTTATTATACTTTAATTTTGTGTAAAATAGCCTAGTAGTAGGTAGATCAATGTAATTTATTATTCTTTATTTTGTAGACGTCATTCAATATATTTCTTTTCTCTTTCATCTCTTCTTTGTGCACTAACAATTAGTATCAGAGTCCCAGTTTGAAATCCATGGGGAAACACGAGCGAACAGTGAGATATTATGTGATTGAGAATCGTTTTTTTTCTTCTGATTTTGTGGGATTTGTGAAACATTGTACTTTAGTGAGTTTTTGCGTGAATTGCACAAGGTTGAAGATGAACGGAAACACTGATATCAACTTCAAGCTTTCAGTCTTTGATGGCAAAAACTAAAATCGTTAGAAGATCCAGATGCGTGTGTTGTTTGACTCTCAAGATGTGTTAGATCTTATTACCGATGGCTATGATCTGTTAGCAGCTGACGCGACAGAGGCACAGAAGATTACACAGAAGACGCTAAGGAAGAAAGATCAGACGACATTGTTCTACATCCATCAATGTATGGATGCGAATGTGTTTGAGAAGATTGTTGACTCTGAAACAGCAAAGGCTGCGTAAGACACACCAGTCAGATGTTACGGTGGTGACGCATCAGTGAAGAAGGTGAAGCTTCGGTCTCTCAGAAAGCAATATAAGAATCTCAACATGAAGGACAACGAGAAAGTTTATGAGTACATCTCTAGAGTGATTCTGATCACTAATAAGATGAAAGCTTGTGGAGAAATTCTTTTTGAACAAGTAATCATTGTGAAGATATTGAGATTTTTAACTTCTCAGTTTGATTACATTGTGGTAGCAATTGAACATTCCAAAGATCTAAGCACCATGAGAGTTTAAGAGTTGCAAAGTAGTTTAGAGGCGCATGAGTTGCGTATGACTGCGAGAACTTCTGAGAGGGAAGTAGAGCAGTATGCTCTGAAAGTAACTTCTAGTAAGAAGTATCAGAAGCAAACTTGGTCAGAAGCCAGGAAAAAAATTAATGGTGGTCAAAGGTCAGAAGCTTTAAACTCTGATAGGCAGAAGAATATCCAGAAGGGAAAGGAGAAGTCTGACAAGAAGAATGTTCAGTGTTACTGTTGCAAGAACTTTGGTCACTATGCTAAAGATTATTGGTCGAACAAAGAAAGGAAGTCAGAAGAAGCAAATATAACCAGAGGAGAGTCTGATGATGAACATGTGCTATTGTTGGCTTCTGAACTTGATAATATGAATTCATCAGAATGGTGGTATATGGGCACAGGGTGTTCAAACCATCTTACTGGAAACAAGAAATGGTTCGTTGATTTTGACTCTAGGAAGAGTACAAAGATCAGATGTGCTGATGATAAATACCTCAATGCATAAGGTATGGAAAATGTCAGAATCATTCTAAATAATGGGAAAGCAGCAGTGATCCAGAATGTATGGTATGTACCTGACATGAAAAGCAATATGATGAGTGTGAGACAACTGATTGAGAAATGTTTTTCGGTTATCATGAAGGACAATCTTCTGAAGCTGTATGACTGTAATCAAAAGTTGATTATGGAGTCAAAACAGGGAAGGAACAGAACATTCAAGGTGAATGTTCGAACTGCAGACTCTGAATGTCTTAGTGCAATAAGTGTTGTCAAGGAGAGTTAGTTGTGGCACAGAAGATTTGATCATCTGAATTTCAGAAGCTTAGGGCATCTGAAATCAAAGAAATTGGTACATGGAATTCCTACAATCAAAAAGCCTGAGAAGTAATGCAAGGTGTGTATGGAAGGGTAGCAACCAAGATTACCATTTACATCAGAAGTAGCTCCAAGAGAAAAGCATGCCTTGGGAGTAGTTCATTATGATGTGTGCGGTCCATTTCCAGTAGCATCAATTGGAGGGAATAAATACTTTGTGTCATTTGTTGATGAGTTCACCAGAATGACATGGGTGTCTCTCATAAAGAACAAACACGAGGTGTTTGCTGAATTCAAGAAGTTCATACTGAAGGTTGAGAATCGGAGTGGCCAGACTCTGAAGATTCTTAGAACTGATGGTGGTGGTGAGTATAACTCCACAGAATTCTGAAGGTTCTGTAAGGAGAATGGAATTGAGCATGGGGTTACTGCTCCCTATACTCTTTAACACAATGGTCTTACTGAAAGAAGAAATCGTACTTTGCTTGATATGGTGAGAAGCATGCTGAAAGAGAAGAAGTTTCCTCATACTTTGTGGGGAGAAATTGTTGCCACTTCATGTTATGTGCTCAACCGATGTCCAACAAAGAAGCTGAAGGAAATAATTCATATTCATAAGTGGACTGGAGATAAGCAAAGTGTTAGTCATCTGAAGGTGTTTGGTTATGTATGTTACAAACATGTCCCAGAATCCAGAAGACAAAAGTTGGATGATAAAAGTAAAGTAATGTTACTAGGGGATACCACAGTACAAGTTCATACAAACTTTATTGTCCAAAAACTAACAAAGTTGAGTTTAGCAGAGACGTCATTGTAAAAGAATCAGAAGTCTGGAATTGGGAAAGGACTCGTCCTGACTCTAATGAGAGAACTCCTGAAGAAAAGTCAGAAACACGTGTTTCTAAAGCTGGTAAAGACTCTGACTTTGAAGAAGATTCAGGAGGTGCAGATGATTCTGACTCTGACTCCGATGGTGATTCAGACTCTGGGAATTTTCCAGACTCTGAAGACAGTCAAGGTTCTGGAGAAAGTATAATTTCTTAAGCAATAGCTTCTGAAGGGGAAAGTTCTGGTATCCGAGGTTCTGGAGTTCAAATTCAGAGACAACAAAGAGTCAGAAGCATTCCAAGAATATTTGCAGAGTTTGACATGTTACAAGACACTGAAGTAGACTCCAATGGAGAAGTTATTCAGTGTGCAATTTTCGTAGACTTTGAATTTGTGAGTACGGAAGAGGCTCTTAAGCAGCAAGTCTGGTTGCAGGCCATGAAAGAAGAACTTGATGCTATAGAGAGAAACAAGACTTGGAAGCTGATAAAACTTCCAAAAGGCAAGAAAGCCATTAGCGTCAGATGGGTTTTCAAGCAGAAGCTAAAGCCAGATGGATCAAATGGAAAACACAAAGCAAGATTAGTAGTAAGAGGCTTTCTACAGAAGCCTGGGTTGGATTACTCTGAAGTTTTTTCACCTGTAGCGAGACATGAAACAATCAGACTAGTGATTGCAATAGCTGCTAACAGGAATTGGCCTCTGATTCGTTTAGATGTAAAATATGTATTTCTGAATGGTCCATTACAAGAAGAGGTATATGTGTCACAACCTCCTGGATTTAATAAAAAGAATCAGAAAGGGATGGTGTTCAAATTACACAAAACCTTGTATGGATTAAAGCAAACTCCCAGATCTTGGAATCTGAAGATTGATTCATTTTTCCAGGGACAAGGGTTTCAGAAGTGTGTGATGGAGTATGGTGTTTATGATCAGCACACTTCAGATGGTAATATGATTCTGGTATGTTTGTATGTTGATGACATATTGCTCACATGCAGTTCTGAACAAGAGATAGCTGAGTTCAAGAAGGTTCTGATGAATGAGTTTGAAATGACAGATCTTGGGAAAATGAGTTTCTTTCTAGGGATGGATTTTATGTACTCTGAGAAGGGAATCATTTTATATCAGATGAAGTATGAACTAGAGCTTATGAAGATATTTGATCTAGAGAATTTCAAAGTTGCTAACACACTTGTTGATACGAATCAGAAGTTGGACTCTGATTCTGATAAATAGGATGTGGATGCTACAACCTTCAAACAAATGGTTGGTTCTCTGAGGTATTTGTGTAATAACAGACCTGATATTTGCTATGCAATTGGAATGGTTAGCAAATTATGAGTAAGCCAAAGTGGTCTCATTACAAATATGTTGTCAGGATTTTGAGGTATGTGAAGGGAACTCTGAAGTATGGAGTGTTATTTCCTTCTGGAAGGAAGATCAAATCAGAACTTCTGATTTATTCAGACTCTGATTGGTGTGGAGACAGGGTTGATAGAAGAAGTACTTCTGGGTACTTATTCAAATTTCTAGGAGGTCCTATTTCTTAGTGTTCCAAAAACCAACCTGTTGTTGTGCTGTCAACCTGTGAAGCTGAATATATTGCAAGAGCTCTGACTGCATGCCAAGCTGTGTGGATTTTGAACTTGCAGCAAGATCTGAAGAATGAGGTAGACAAACCTCTGAAGCTGATGATTGATAACAAATCTGCAATAAATCTTGCCAA